GCCGTCCTAAATGTCGCCGCCTGGACGCGTGACGCGATCTACGCATTGGTGGGGCATGCCTATTCAGCCACCCGTGCGACGGGGTTCGCCGGTAGGATCAGAGATGCGTCGCAACGCCCCCGTCTTGACCCTTCGGCTTACCCGACCCATGAGGCTTTCCGGGAAGCAGTTTCAGCGGCGGCGTGGCAGGAGAAACGCAAAGCGGTCCACCGGTACCTTGATCTCCGCGAGACCAACGCTGGCGCCGCCGAGCGTTTGGTTTTCGGGCTTTTCCAAGTCGGCTGCGAAGTTCGACATCCAACTCGTGGATGCCATCTCTGGGCAATCCATGTTTACTAGTGGCATGATCGATGTGATCCACGACGATCTGTACTCCGGGGCCCACAGCGATTTCCCACAGCGCCCAGGGGCTAGGGGCGGCCTTGCACATAGTGTCACCAACATCCGCAACACGGGGGCGGGGGTTGGACCCCTGTATCCAGAACGACCATGCGCCTGCCATGAGGTCGAAGCGGCGCTGTCCCTTCTCAAGCCAGGCAAGCGCACGGTGCACTTGTGCAACGCAGCTTTGCGGGTCCAGGTTGAGGAGGGTTTCCGCCTGACGCGGGCGCTACTCAGTCTTGGTCTCGCACTGCGCGCAACTGCCCGATCATGGTGTCTTCGCCACTTTGCTCCTATCCGGAAGTCAGGGCCGGCGACTGTCTGCCCGTGGAGATCGCGGCCGCAGTCCCTGGGGGGTGCGCCACCGTGGTCCCGCGCCTGGCCAGGCGGGCCCTCGCAGCGGCGGGCGTGGCTTGTCCCCCAGCCACCGAGGCGGCAATGCCGGACAGGGTCCTCCCAGCGGCGGCAGTGTTGCAGGAGGTGCTTCGGGCGGCGGCTTCCGAATCCCTGCCGCGGCCGCGCGCCGAAGCCGCTCCAGCCACCTGCCTCGGTGCCCTCCCGGCCCTTGCGGACAGAGCCGCGGTGGTGGAGCTCGCGGGGGACTTGCGCATGCCACCTGCGCAGTTTGTCGGCGACCTCACGGTAGCTTGCCCATCTGTGGGGGCGGCGCGCGCGGTCCTATCTCCTGAGGAAGACTCCGCGCGCAGTCGGTACGCGCGCAAGTTTAAGTCGTTTTTCTCCCGAGAGTGGTCCAAGGAGTTCGTTCTTCCTGTCCTAGGCGCCGCCCATCCCAGTCTCGCTGGCTGCCCGGTGGTGGACCGCAAGGTCCTTCTGGGAGTGTTTGTGGATTCGGACTTGTCGTTGGAACCCCTGCTCCGTGAGATCGTCGCCGTCGGTCATAGCAGTTTCTCAAAGTTGCTCGATGCGGCGGAATTTGGGGGCTTTTTCATCCCGGTGGCCGCGGCGCAGGTCCCCGCTCGCGTCGAACCCGTCGTTGCGTGCGCCGGCCCGCTCCCGGCCGCTGTGCCCGGCGCGGAATCAGGTTTGAATAAGTTGCAGGTGGCTTTGGGCAGGCGTGTTTTAGGGTGCCAATTCGCCATGCAGTGGTGGTCGCCCACTGTGGCTTGCCCATGCGCCTGGGAACGAAATTTTTGAAAAAGGCATTGTTGGCGCGAGCGCGGCCCATGGTCCTGCCGGGGGGCCACCCAGCCGCACTCGTGCTGAAGGATGCTCGGTCGCTGGCCACCCCCACGTGGGAATCGGCGGTGCTTGCTTTGGCCCAGCGGCTCGACCCCCCCCGCCGGACCTCGAAGGGCATCCCATGTTTCCTGCCGCCCTGCTGCAAGCGGCGCGGGTGTCTTCGGCCGCTAGGAAAGTGATTATCAAATCGTACGGGCTCGAGGTGTTGCGTCCGGCCCTTTTGCGGCACGACCGCGCGCATTCGCGAAGGCTGCCATGCAAATCTGCCTCAGTTTAATCGCTCTTTTGCTTCTATGTGCACCTTCCCGGCGCCTTTGGACCCAGACATGTTGGCTGGGGAGCCAGGGCCGTCTTTCTGGTCCCACTACCGGCTCTGGGCTGTGGTCCGAAAGACGGGCAAGTGGCCCTTGTCGGTCTTGGGGGGCGAGGAACCACCCCGTTTTTTTCGCCGTTTCAGAGCCTGCGGGCGCCGCGAGGTCTCGCTGCGGCACGCGCGAAGTTCCTGCCCCGTGGTCGGCCAGAAGCGCAAGGAACTCTTTCCAGTGGATCCGTCGCCGGATTTGTTGCTCCAGCTTTTGTTCGGAGGTTCCGGGTGCCCTCGCAAACGTATCCAACACGTGGTGCCCGCTGGTAGAGCCATACGTAGGTGTGTCCCTTCCTTCCTCTCCTCGTCGTCCTCCTCCTCCTCTTCTTCCGACTCGGGGTAAGTGGCGGGGTTTCCCGCTGCCGCGCGGACGGCCCGACAGGGCCGCCAGGTCTGACGCTCCCCGTGCTTCACAGTCGTGATGCGCGCCGCTCTGGCTATTCCGTTGAGGGGGGTTCCCTCCGCTTGTTTCTTTGTGTGCGTTCTTCCCCTTCTCCTTGGCTCCCTCCCGCGCTCGCGTTCTAGTGTTTGCTGTAGGCCGCCCGTCCGCCTCGCAGACGGGATGGGCCACTCTACGTTTGTTCCCATGCCTCTTGGGCCTGGGGCTGCTCGTGGAGCCCGTGGGGCCCTCTCCCCCTCTCGCGCGTCCCCCTCCCTCTCCCCTTGTGCACGGTTTCACCGCGGGGGTTCCCGCAGTAGGGTCGCTTGTCTCACGGTCCCCAGCCCGTCGAGGCAGTGCCTGATCCGCTAGAGTGTCTTCCCAGGTGTTTGCCGGGGCCCTCTCGTCGTCCCCAGGGCGGCCTGACAGCTTCACGTGGCCTTATGGCCAGGAGGTGCGTGGCTTTCTGGTGGGGGGGTGGGGGCGTCGGCAGACCTATGGAGATAGTGTGGCGGCCCGTAACTCCGGCGAGCGGCGCCTCCCGTCCCCGCGGGGGGAGCAGCTAGTTGCAGGCGGCCTGCCCTTGCTTGCCCTGGTACCAGCAGGGGGGGAAGGGGTGTGTGACACCGCCGCCTGTCCCCCGTCGGCTGCGCGACTCCGACCTGCTCACGCCGGGCAGCTCTGAGCCGCAGCGTCCGCGGAACGCGCGTCAGGGGCCGCCGGCGCGCGCGCCGTGGAGGTTGTTATGATTGCGAAATGCGAAGTGCGAAAAAGGGGGGCGGGGGAGAAGTCGTTCGATGAGGACGGGACGAATGAGGAGGAGGAGGAGGAGGAGGAGGAGGAGGAGGAGGAGGAGGAGGAGGAGGAGGAGGAGGAGGAGGAGGAGGAGGAGGAGGAAGAAGAGGCAGTGCAGGACGGGGCAGGAGGCAGACTGAGGAGGAAAGGGGGAGGAGGAAGAGGAGGACGAGAGGGCACGGAGGAAGGTCTGGAGTCGCGGCCGCAGTGCTCTGTTTCAGAACGAAGGCCCAACGGAGTAGGAGTGGGAACCACAACTCCCTCCCCGAGGCATGGACGGGGGGTGGCGCGAGCGGTCAGAGCGTCCAGGATGCCCTAATCTTGCTCCAGACTCGCCCACGATGGCTTGCAATATTGCACAGCGTAGCCGAATACGGCGTAATATGGCCTGCAGACGGCGTGTGGGGCTGCGCTTGCAGCACGTGTCAAACACGAAGACAGTCAACAGGCAGAGCCGCAACTCATATTCGGACCGCGGGGCAGGCCGACACAGAAAACCGGGCCAGGCAAGGGCAAGACACGGGCAGGATTGGGAGCCACATGTGGCACCTTTTCCGTACAGGCTTTTTTACGGGGACATTCTACATATAGAGCGTTGTTCGCAGAAGTAGTACGATGGACGCGGTTTCGAAAATCATGTATCGGAGTTCAGGTACTACGGAACACCATGGCACGACATTTTATGGGCGACGCGAGTATTGAAACTATCAATCACAGCTTAACAATTGTCGATGCTATTCTGAAGAGTAACACGTTTACGCGTACGATCACTGCTACTAGTATTGATGCGCATACGGATGCTCACACTATTATGAGTCTTACCTTCAATACCCATATGAACACTCACAAACTTAGTCAAGCGAAGAGTTCGATCGATGCGAATACGATTTTGGATATTGATGAGAAGACTGCGACTGCTTCCAACCATTCGCTCATCTGGCTAACAAGTCTATACGGGAGGAAACCAGAGGCCACGGGAGGCTACCAGAGGCCACGGCGCCCCACCGAACAAAATCAATACCTTACGGACGCGCTGTTTAGGGAACGCGTGTTGCGTCGTTTTGCTGCGGAAGCCAAGTTTTCGCGCGCGGGTTCCCTTATTGTAGTCTCGTCTCCACGTGACGCTCAGTTTGTGTTGTGCATTTCGTGGGTGCCATCATTCGCATGGGAGCGCGGCTTGCTATAACAAGCGTCGGAACATCCTCCATCTTTGATCTTCTCTTCCGATCACCAGCGCAGTGTGTTATCACGACGCGGACCTCCGCACTGTCCGAAACGTTCCGTTTTGATTATTTCACGACGAGAGGAGGTTTGGGCCCCCTTCCCCTCCTCCACCTCTTCCACCTCCTCCACCTCCTCCTCCTCCTCCTCCAGCGAAGCCTTTCTAAAAGCTCGTCTTCGGGTTCACGTGCCTTCGTGCGGCGGAAATCCAGCCGTGGCGATGAGTTGCCGCCCAGAGGGCCAACAAGGAAGTCCAGAAACGTCTCCAACATCCTCTGTCCTCCTCCGAAGGAAAACGCCGCAAACGCAAGCCTTCGCAGGTCCGCTCGGATAGTTTTGATCGGCGCGAGGGGGTGGCGCTCGGCGCCGATCCGAGGTCCGCGCGGAGTTCCGACCGCTCGTGCTCGTGGCGTTGTTGTTGTTGTCTTATGCGAAGCCCTTCTCGTTTCTACGTAACACCAGGGTTGGATTGGGAATTCCATTTCCGGCAACCACTAATTCTACTCAACAGCTTGATGCGGAAAAGGTTAGAATCTATGGATTGGACAGGGGTGTAGGCTTGGGTTGGCAGGAGGGATGTCGGTGTAGTTCTTCGTGAGGTCGCTCTCTCCGCTGCACAGATGTAAGCATACACACACTATTCTTCGATCGGACCCGAAGGCTCATGTGCCTCCCAGCGGCGCTGCCCCTGCTGCTGCTCAGGCGCCGCTGGTGCTCTCCTCTTCTCCCGTCCGCTCGCATGCCATCGTCGCATCCCGCGCGCCCCCGGCGAGAGAAAGACCAGAGGAGGATGAGGATGCGTATGAGAATGAGGAGGTGCAGGAGGACGAGCATAAGGAGGAGGAGGAGGAGGAGGAGGAGCAGGAGGAGGAGGAGAAGGACTCGAGGGTCTGGGAGTGGAAGGGTAGAGGAGAAAGACGAAACGGAGGAGAAAGAGGCAGAGGAGGAGGAGGAGGAGGAGGAGGAGGAGGAGGAGGAAAAGGGCCCAAAGAGGGTACGATCACAGACGAGGAGGGCGAGTATCGAGGATTCTTGGGAGATGCATGTTGTATGACAAAAGAGTGTCGAAGAGCGATCCGTGTTAGCATGATTGTTTTGTTTGTGTGTTCTCCCAAGCAGTGCTTGTACTATCTGTTGGCTATGTGTTGAGCGCGACGGTGCGAGTACAGTCACAGGTGGCATGGTGAGATCTCATACTCAGAGACCCGTGCAGTGGAGGATCCAAGCTGTGATGCCAGTACCTCACCCCTCCCCTTCTCCACCAGCTTCCTGCCCTGGTAAAGATGGATGTAGGTACGGGTGAGGAAGGCAATGTCAGGCTCAGTAGGTACGCTTCGAGTGAGAGATGGTTCGTCCTAGTGGTATTTCTCCTGGACTGCAGGTGTCTCAATAGCACTGCCGCCGTGCGCATCCAGATCTCCATCGGCGTCCTCGAAGAAGCCCGCGTAGGAGCCTGGTCCACATTGGGAATATCATGGGGAACCGCATGGGGAGGAGGAGGAGGAGGAGAAGGAGGAGGAGGAGGAGGAGGTGGAGGTGGAGGTGGCGGATGAGGGAGGAGGGAAGAATGTCGCATGCTAGCATCAGCATTTCTCTGGCGTGGCCTTTAGCTGTCCGCAGCAGATCCTCCCCTACATGCTCGTTCTACCTGTCCTGTGCGCGCAGGCAGTGTGGTGAACACCAGCGCTGCGTGCACGCGGATTCTGTGGTGTAGAGAGGCGCTGTGGTGTGCACAGGCGCTGCGGTGCACGCAAGCATTTTGGTGTACACAGGCGTTGCCTCGCACACGGCTGTTGCGGTGTACGCAGGCACTGTGGTGTACACGCGCGCTGTGGTGCACGCGAGCATTGTGGTGTACACAGGCGCTGCGTCGCACACGGCTGTTGCGGTGTACGCAGGCACTATGGTGTACGCTCGCTGTGGTGCACGCGAGCATTGTGGTGTACACAGGCGTTCTGGGCAGCTCGCCACCTACGTGCTGCTCGCGTCGTCGTCGTCGTCGTCGTCGCTCGTCGCTCGTTGCTCGTTGCTCGTCGCTCATCGTCGTCGTGCGCGCGGGCGTGGCTGTGGTGTCGGAGCCACACGGCGGGGGCGGGGGGCGTTACATCATATCCCCCCGCCCCCCCTTTAACGCCCATTATCGCCAAAAATGAAGAAACGCGCACCAAGGCTAATGTTGCTGTCAGTTAAGCTTGAGAGAGAAGGGCTGCTTGTGGGGTTTGGTGTGTACGGTGTTGGTAGCTCGTAAATGCAGCTGATACTCGTCCAGTACCGCTGCTGTGCTTGGGAGGTCCTCTGACCATTCGCCTCCCAAGATTGTGTAGAGCAATTGCGATACTTTTGCGAGTGTCGTGGTCCAGCTGGCGTTTGGGTTCGCGTTTGGTCGTGTGAGCATGTCATGGACGTTCTAAGCCGCTTGGGGCGCAAACTTCTTATGCCCCAGCGCCTTACTTTGGTTTGGGGCATAAAAACTGATATGGCTGCTCATGGTCCCTCTCCCCCATCCCCGTGCCACCACAGCGGAACTTGACGCAGCAGCGCTTTCGGTTCAGCCCCGGCTGTGGCGACGCCAGGGGCAGGACGACGACGACGACGACGAGTTCGACGACGACGATGACGACGACGACGAGGAAGTCGAGGGCGAGGACGAAGACGACGGCGACGACGTCGTTCTGTTGTCAACGATTCGGCTCTTCCGGAAGGGTCGCCAGGCTTTGGCATCGTCAGAGACGGTCCTCCTCTTCCTCCTCTTCCCCCATCCCTCCCCTTCTACGCAAAGTCAGCTGGCAAGTGCGACTCATCGCGCCAGCGCCAATGAGACTTGCAAGCCGAGACCGGATCCAGATGCAATCTCTGGGCCGGACGAGCCAGATCAATAGGACGAACCAAACCAACCACAGCCAGTAGAGCAAGCGCGGCAGACCAACCCAGCGAACAAACCAGACCAACCAGACGAACCAGACGAACCAGACCAGACAGACCAACCAGACCAACCAGACCAGCCCGACCAAGCAGACCAGCCAGACCAACCAACCAGACCAGACCAGCCTGACCAGCTGACCAGGCCCGACGTGACAGACCAGACCAGCCAGACGAACCAGTCCAGCCAGACCAGACCAGGCCAGCCAGACCAACCTGACCAGCCAGACCAATCAACCAGACCGGACCCGCCAGACGAATCGGACAAGCCAGACCAACCAATCAAACCAACCAGATCGATCAGCCAGACCAACCAGACAAGGCAGACCAACCACCATCGTCCTCGTCGTGGTCGTCGTGGTCGTGGTCGCAGCCCTGTCGGCGTATCCATTTTTATGACGACAGGTTCACTTCTTTTGGAAGCAAGATTCAGCTGAAGTCGTCGTGGCCGTCGTCTTCCCAGTCGTCGTCGTCGTCGTCGCGGCCGGTCCTGGTCGCGGTCGCAGCCCTGTCGGAGTATAATTTTTTTATGGAGACTGGCTCAGACGGCCCCAAGACGGCCCAAGAGGCCCCCAAGACGGCCCAAGAGGGCTCCAAGACGGCACCAAGAGGGGCGCAAGACCAGCGAAACCAACCAGACCAGCCAGACCAACCAGACCAGCCAGACCAGCCAGACCAACCAACCAGATCAGACCAGCCTGACCAGCTGACCAGGCCAGGCAGACCAGACCAGATTAGACCAGCCAGACGAACCAGTCCAGCCAGACCAGACCAGGCCAGCCAGACCAACCTGGCCAGCCAGACCAACCAACCAGACCGGACCAGCCAGACGAACATGACCAGCCAGACCAACCAATCAGACCAACCAGTTCGACCAGCCAGACCCACCAGACCAGCCAGACCAACTGGGCCAGACAAGCCAGACCAACCACCATCGTCCTTGTCGTGGTCGTCGTGGTCGTGGTCGCAGCCCTGTCGGCGTATCCGTTTTTATGAAGACAGTTCCAGTTTTTTGGGAAGCCATATTGAGCTGAAGTCGTCGTGGTCGTCGTCTTCCCGGTCGTCGTCGTCGCGGCCGTCCTGGTCGCGAACGCAGCCCTGTCGGAAAATATCTTTTTATGGAGACGGGCTCAGACGGCCCCAAGACGGCCCAAGAGGCCCCCAAAACGGCCCAAGAGGAAACCGAGAGATCCGCCACCGCGCTTGCAGCGGTAGGTGTGTCTCAGGCCCAGTCGTCGTGGTCCCAGACGTTCGTGCTGCAACCTCCCCTAAACCACTCTCAAACGAATCCTAAGCTAAGGCTGAAAGACGAAGCTCAAACCAGACCAACCAGACCAGCCAGACCAGATGCAACAAAAAACTGCAATGCAGAAGCGACTGCAATGCAAGAAACAGTTTTCGTGTCGTCGTGGTCCTAGACGTTCGTGCTGCAACCTCCCCTAAGCCACTCTCGCCCGAAGCCTAAGCTAAAGCTGCAAGACGAAGCTCAAACCAGACCAACCAGACCAGCCAGACCAGATGCAAAAAAAAACTGCAATGCAGAAGCAACTGCAATGCAAAAAACAGTTTTCGTGTCGTCGTGGTCCCAGACGTTCGTGCTGAAACCTCCCCTAAACCACTCTCAAACGAATCCTAAGCTAAGGCTGAAAGACGAGGCTCAAACCAGACCAACCAGACCAGCCAGACCAGATGCAAAACAAATTGCAATGCACAAAAAAAACTGCTGCTTTTCGGTGGTAGTGGTTGTCGCTGCCTCCCCGGACCTCCCCTAAACCACTCTCGCCTGAATCCTAAGCTAAAGCCTCAGCACCAAGCTCAAACCAGACCACCCAGACCAGCCTGACCAGATGCAAAAAAAACTGCAATGCAAAAAATATTCAATGCAAACAAAACTGCAATGCAACAAAATCTGCTTTTCGGTGGTGGTAGTGGTTGTTGCTGCCTCCCCCGACCTCCCCCAAACCACTCTCGCCTGAATCCTAAGCTAAAGCCTCAGCACCAGGCTCAAACCAGATGCAAAAAAAACTGCTTTTCGGTGGTGGTGGTAATGGTTGCCACTGCCTCACCGGACCTTCCCTAAACCACTCTCGCCTGAATCCTAAGCTAAAGCCTCAGCACCAGGCTCAACCAGACCACCCAGACCAGCCAGACCGGATGCAAAAAAAACTGCAATGCAACAAAAAATTGCAATGCAAAAAACAAACTGCAATGCAAAAATAACTGCTGTTCGGTGGTGGTAGTGGTTGTCGCTGCCTCCCCAGACTTCCCCTAAACCACTCTCGCCTGAATCCTAAGCTAAAGCCTCAGCACCAAGCTCAAACCAGACCACCCAGACCAGCCAGACCAGATGCAACAAAAACTGCAATGCACAAAAAACTGCTTTTCGGTGGTAGTGGTTGTCGCTGCCTCCCCGGACCTCCCCTAAACCACTCTCGCCTGAATCCTAAGCTAAAGCCTCAGCACCAAGCTCAGACCACCCAGACCAGCCAGACCAGATGCAAAAAAAAACTGCAATGCAAAAAAAACTGCAGTGCAACAAAAACTGCAATGCAAAAAAAAATGCTTTTCGGTGGTAGTGGTTGTCGCTGCCTCCCCGGACCTCCCCTAAACCACTCTCGCCTGAATCCTAAGCTAAAGCCTCAGCACCAGGCTAAAACCAGACCACCCAGACCAGCCAGACCAGATGCAAACAAAAATGCAATGCAAAAAAAACTGCAATGCAAAAAAATGCAATGCAAAAACATTGCTTTTCGGTGGTAGTGGTTGTCGCTGCCTCCCCGGACCTCCCCTAAACCACTCTCGCCTGAATCCTAAGCTAAAGCCTCAGCACCAAGCTCAAACCAGACCAACCAGACCAGCCAGACCAGATGCAAAAAAATACAATGCAAAACAAACTGCAATGCAAAAAATGCAATGCAAAAAAAACTGCAATGCAACAACATCTTCTTTTCGGTGGTGGTAGTGGTTGTTGCTGCCTCCCAGGACCTCCCCTAAACCACTCTCGCCTGAATCCTAAGCTAAAGCCTCAGCACCAGGCTCAAACCAGATGCAACAACAACTGCTTTTCGGTGGTGGTGGTAGTGGTTGTCGCTGCCTCCGCGGACCTTCCCTAAACCACTCTCGCCTGAATCCTGAGCTAAAGCCTCAGCACCAGGCTCAACCAGACCACCCAGAGAAGCCAGACCGATGCAAAACAAACTGCAATGTAAAGCAACTGCAATACAAAAAAAACTGCAATGCAAAAAATAACTGCTGTTCGGTGGTGGTAGTGGTTGTCGCTGCCTCCCCGGACTTCCCCTAAACCACTCTCGCCTGAATCCTAAGCTAAAGCCTCAGCACCAAGCTCAAACCAGACCACCCAGACCAGCCTGACCAGATGCAAAAAAAACTGCAATGAAAAAGAACTGCAGTGCAACAAAAACTGCAATGAAAAAGTAACAAAAACTGCAATGACAAAAAACATATGCTTTTCGGTGGTCGTGGTTGTCTCTGCCTCCCCGGACCTCCCCTAAACCACTCTCGCCTGAACCCCAAGCTAAAGCCTCAGCACCAAGCTCAAACCAGACCAGCCAGACCAGATGCCACAAAAAATGCAATGTAAAAAAAACTGCAATGCAAAAAAAACTGCAATGCAAAACAACCTGCTTCTCGGTGGTAGTGGTTGTCGCTGCCTCCCCGGACTTCCCCTAAACCACTCTCGCCTGAATCCTAAGCTAAAGCCTCAGCACCAAGCTCAAACCAGACCACCCAGACCAGCCAGACCAGATGCAAAAAAATACAATGCAAACAAAAACTGCAATGCAACAACAACTGCAATGCAAACAAAAGCAGCAATGCAACAAAATCTGCTTTTCGGAAGGGGTAGTGGCTGTTGCTGCCTCCGCGGACCTCCCCCAAACCACTCTCGCCTGAATCCTAAGCTAAAGCCTCAGCACCAAGCTCAAACCCGATGCAAACAAAAACTGTTTTTCGGTGGTGGTGGTAATGGTTGTCGCTGCCTCCCCGACCTCCCCTAAACCACTCTCGCCTGAATCCTAAGCTAAAGCCTCAGCACCAGGCTCAACCAGACCACCCAGACCAGCCAGACCGGATGCAAAAAAAACTGCAATGTAAAAAATCTGCAATGCAAAAAAGATGCAATGCAAAAAAAACGGCTTTTCGGTGGTGGTAGTGGTTGTTGCTGCCTCCCTGGACTTCCCCTAAACCACTCTCGCCTGAATCCTAAGCTAAAGCCTCAGCACCAGGCTCAAACCAGACCAGCCCGACCAGCCAGACCAGATGCAAAAAAAACTGCAATGCAAAAAAAAACTGCAGTGCATTAAAAACTGCAATGCAAACAAAGACTGCTTTTCGGTGGTAGTGGTTGTCGGTGCCTCCCCGGACCTCCCCCAAACCATCTCGCCTGAATCCTGAGCTAAAGCATCAGCACCAAGCTCAAACCAGACCACCCAGATCAGCCAGACCAGATGCAAAACAATCCAATGCAAACAAAAACTGCAATGCAACAACAACTGCAATGCAAACAAAACTGCAATACAACAAAATCTGCTTTTCGGAAGGGGTAGTGGTTGTTGCTGCCTCCGCGGACCTCCCCCAAACCACTCTCGCCTGAATCCTAAGCTAAAGCCTCAGCACTAGGCTCAAACCAGATGCAAACAAAAACTGTTTTTCGGTTTCGGTGGTAATGATTGTCGCTGCCTCCACAGACCTCCCCTAAGCCACTCTCGCCTGAATCCTAAGCTAAAGCCTCAGCACCAGGCTCAACCAGACCACCCAGACCAGCCAGACCAGATGCAAAAGAAACTGCAATGTAAAAAAAGCTGTAATGCAAAAAAAACTGCAATGCAATAATGCTATTCGGTGGTGGTAGTGGTTGTCGCTGCCTCCCCGGACTTCCCCTAAACCACTCTCGCCTGAATCCCAAGCTAAAGCCTCAGCACCAAGCTCAAACCAGACCACCCAGACCAGCCAGACCAGATGCAACAAAAACTGCAATGCAAAAAAAACCGCAGTGCAAATAACTGCAATGCAAAAAAAAAGCTTTTCGGTGGTAGTGGTTGTCGCTGCCTCCCCGGACCTCCCCTAAACCACTCTCGCCTGAATCCTAAGTTAAAGCCTCAGCACCAAGCTCAAACCAGACCACCCAGACCAGCCAGACCAGATGCAAAAAAAAATGCAATACCCAAAAAACTGCAATGCAAAAAAAAGCAGCAATGCAACAAAATCTGCTTTTCGGAAGGGGTAGTGGTTGTCGCTGCCTCCCCGGACCTCCCCTAAACCACTCTCGCCTGAATCCTAAGCTAAAGCCTCAGCACCAAGCTCAAACCAGACCACCCAGACCAGCCAGACCAGATGCAAAAAAATACAATGCAAACAAAAACTGCAATGCAAAAAAAACTGCAATGAAAAAAAAACAGCAATGCAACAAAATCTGCTTTTCGGAAGGGGTAGTGGTTGTCGCTGCCTCCCCGGACCTCCCCTAAACCACTCTCGCCTGAATCCTAAGCTAAAGCCTCAGCACCAAGCTCAAACCAGATGCAAACAAAAACTGCTTTTCGGTGGTGGTGGTTGTCGTTGCCTCCCCGGACCTCCCCTAAACCACTCTCGCTTGAATCCTAAGCTAAAGCCTCAGCACCAGGCTCAAACCAGACCAGCCAGACCAGATGCAAAAGAAACTGCAATGCAAACAAAAACTGCAATGCAAAAAAAATTGCAATGCAACATAACTGCAATGCAACAACATCTGCTTTTCGGAAGGGGTAGTGGTTGTTGCTGCCTCCGCGGACTTCCCCTAAACCACTCTCGCCTGGATCCTAAGCTAAAGCCTCAGCACCAGGCTCAAACCAGACCAACCAGACCAGCCAGACCAGCCAGACCAACCAGAGCACTCAGACCAGATGCAACTCCGGCCAACTTGTTCTTTGGAGGCTTGGCGTTCCGCCGTGCGCTACACGGCTAAGAACTTTATACTGGTTGGCTAGTGCTACGTTGATGCGGAAGTTGTGGTCGTCGTTGTATTTGTTCTGCATGTCTTCCAGTGTACCGTCGAGTATCAGTCTGGTCGTTAGGTCGTATCGCGGTCGAGGTGGTGGTAATTCGTGGACTGCTCTTGCCGCCTGATGGAGTATGAGTCGCTGTCTAGGTTTGGCTGTGGGTTCCTTGAAGTGTGAAAATGAAGCTCCGTGCTGGTCTGGCCGTAGCGGTAGATGTTGGAACACATATGGGTAGGTGGCGTTGGTGAAGCATTTGCTGTTGAACTTGTCGGTCGAGGTATTTGTGCCACGCGTCGATGAGGAGGTGGTCGTTGGGGAACCTACGTGTTGTCGTGCTCGTTGTGGTTGACTACGTATTCGATTCCGTCGTCGACGTCGGCGACGTATGCTCTTCATCCCGGCAGGCAGTGTAGGTCATGTTGTACGGGAGGTGGTAGAGACATGAGAGTAAACGGTGATAACTCTGGGCTACCGTAGTCGTCGTCGTGCCAGGGGTCGTTCGTGTCTACATCTGACGTGGGTGATGGTGCTGGCATGTTGTGTTGGGGTGGCGGTATGGGTTGTGGTGGCTGCCTTGGGTGCTGTGTGGGGCCTGGGTTGCATCGCTGTGGTCGGAAATCGATGTAACATCCTCCTCCTCCTCCGCTCTGAGTGATGAAGGCTCCAGCTCTGGAGGAGCATCCGTCGTCCTCCGTCGCCGGTCCTGGCACGCGCCACGCGCGCGTGCCGCCCAGCTACTCCAGCTGCGTCTCGTACGCCCAGCTGATCACCACCGACTCGCCGCTGAGCTCGCAGACTGTCGCCGGGATGCACCTGCTGAGCTGCGGGCTGACAGGAGTCCCCGCCGTCGTGGTTGCGACGCCTGGTGGCAGGTTTTCTCTTCGCCTCTTCTGTTTTTTTTGGGGGGGGGGCTGGGCCTCTTCGTGGCCACGTCCAGTCGAGCGACATGCACGACTGGCCAGGATGGCGTCGGTCGGGTTGGACGATGATGGGCATGTTTTCCACCACCGCCACCATAAGTTGGAGGGGGGAAGGAGGTGGAGAACGAGTAGGAGGAGGACGAGTCGGAGGGGCGCCAGCTTCTATAAAGACCTGGGCGGTTTCGGCGTTTTTGAAATCAGGTGAGGAACGCGGAGAATGCGAGGAGGACAATCGATTTGAGGAGGCGGTGACAGATAACAACTACATAACACGGAGGAGAAGGAACAGGGCGAGGGTGTAGGGAAGGATCGTGTCAGAACATTATTATATCGTTGAAGGAAAGGAAGAGCGAGATCGTAGTTGCACTCAAGGTTTGGCTTCTCCAATCAGTGCTCTTCCTCAACCCTTCCTCCTTCATGTTTTCTTCAATCCTCCTCCGTCCTCCCGCCTCATGCTTCCTCAATGCTTCCTCAATCCTCCATCCGCCGTCCTCCATCCTTCGTCAATGCTTCCTCACTGCTTCCTCAATCCTCCATGCTCCATCCTCCGTGGCTTTATTTCTCCTCCTGCTTCCTCAATCATTGATCCTCCATCCTCTATCCCTCAGAGGGTTTTCCCTCGATCCTCCATCCTCCCTCCTCTTTCTCATCCTCATCCTCATCATCGCCCTTCCTCGTCCATCGTCCCGTCTCGTCCTTCCTCCTTCTTGTCTGCCTCATCCTCCCCCCTTCTCTTCCCTCGTCCCTCCCTGTCCTCCTCCTCGGCATCATTCTTCCCATCGTGCTCCTCCTGGCCATTGTCATTGTTCTCTTCTTCTTGAGTCTCATCCTTCACTTGCCCTCTTCCCTTCCCGCCGTCGCCATCCTCTGTCCCTATAGCCTTCTCTCCCGTCCTCCTTCGCGTCCGCCTCATCGTCCACCAACTCCTCCTGTCTTTCGCTCCTTGTTCTTCTTCTCCTTATCCTTCGCATCCTCTTCTTCCTCTGTGTAAGTACCTTTATCATCCTCTTCCTCCTGATCCTCGTTTCCCTCGCCTACCCCCGCAGGGGGAGTTGATTGAGTTGCGCATTGCAAGGATGTCAGCGTTGAGGTAAGAAGGGGGGATGCGAACGAAGGAAGGAAGAACGAAGAGAGCGAGATCTGCGATGAGGGGGATACAAGCGTGGAGGCAGAGGGGGAGAAAGGACACACGGGTGCATGGAGGAGGGATAACCCCTCTGTGGGGTGAGAGCTAGGCCTATCGGACTTGTCTTGTAACTTCCCTCATAACCATCATCATCATCATCATCATCATCATCATCATCATCATCATCATCATCATCATCATCATCATCATCATCATCATCATCATCATCTTCATCTTCATCTTCATCATCATCATCATCATCATCATCATCATCATCATCATCATCATCATAATCATCATCATCACCATCACCATCACCAACGTCATCGCTGTCATCATGCTCATCCTCCTCCTCCTGTTCGTTCTCGTCCCAATCCACATCATCATCTCCATCCCTGTCCGCGCTATCAAAACAATTACCCTGCGACGTACCCAACCCACGTGCATCAAGTGGCAAGAGGAGTAGGTCAACATTAGCAGGAAAAGCGATACTGTAGGCGATGTGAATTGCTGTGCAAACTACATGGGATGCGCACGCATTGCACGGCTCACAGGACGACGATCGAAAGAACGAGGATTAAAGCCCCAGGCTCGCGTATGACGTCACTCCGCTGGGCCACCCAGCAGCCCTCGAAAGTGGTGAGAGTTTCGCAGATCGCAGCCCCCCAAGGATGGCGAGGTCTAATCTGAATCCGAATATGTCCCCACTCCGCTGGGCCCTCCAGCAGCCCTCGAAAGTGGCGACAGTTTCACAGATCGCAGCCCTTCGGGGATGGCGAAGTCGAGCCTGAGTCTGCGTAGGACCCACTCCGCTGGCCCCCCAGCAGCCATCGAAAGTGGCGACGGTTTCGCAAATCGCAGTCCCCCAGGAATGGCGAGGTCGAATCTGAGTACCCCACTCCGCTGGACCCACCAGCAGCCCTCGAAACTGGCGACATTTCGCAAATCGCAGCCCCCCCCCCAGCGATGGCGAGGTCTAATCTGAGTCCCCGTGGGGGCTCACTCCGCTGGTCACCCCAGCAGCCCTCGGAAGTGGCGACAGTTTCGCAGATCGCAGCCCCCCAGAGATGGCGAGGTCTAATCTGAGTCCCCGTGGGGCCTCACTCCGCTGGGCCCCCCAGCAGCCCTCGAAAGTGGCGACGGTTTCACATCACAGATCGCAGCCCCCCAGGGATGACGAGATCTAATCTGAGTCCCTGTGGTGCCTCACTCCTCTGGGCCCCCCAGCAGCCCTCGAAAGTGGCGACAGTTTCACAGATCGCAGCCCCCCCCAGGGATGGCGAGGTCTAATCGGAGTCCCCGTCCCCGTGGTGCCTCATCCGCTGGACCCACCAGCAGCCCTCGAAAGTGGCGACAGTTTCACAGATCGCAGCCCCCAGATGGCGAGGTCTAATCTGAATCCCCGTGGTGCCTCACTCCGCTGGACCCACCAGCAGCCCTCGAAAGTGGCGACAGTTTCACAGATCGCAGCCCCCCAGAGATGGCGAGGTCTAATCTGAATCCCCGTGGTGCCTCACTCCGCTGGACCCACCAGCAGCCCTCGAAAGTGGCGACAGTTTCACAGATCGCAGCCACCCCCAGAGATGGCGAGGTCTAATCTGAGTCCCCGTGGTGCCTCACTCCGCTGGACCCACCAGCAGCCCTCGAAAGTGGCGACAGTTTCACAGATCGCAGCCCCCACAGATGGCGAGGTCTAATCTGAATCCCCGTGGTGCCTCACTCCGCTGGACCCACCAGCAGCCCTCGAAAGTGGCGACAGTTTCAGAGATCGCAGCCCCCCCAGGGATGGCGAGGTCTAATCTGAATCCCCGTGGTGCCTCACTCCGCTGGACCCACCAGCAGCCCTCGAAAGTGGCGACAGTTTCACAGATCGCAGACACCCCTAGAGATGGCGAGGTCTAATCTGAGTCCCCGTGGTGCCTCACTCCGCTGGACCCACCAGCAGCCCTCGAAAGTGGCGACAGTTCCAGAGATCGCAGCCCCCCCCCAGAGATGGCGAGGTCTAATCTGAATCCCCGTGGTGCCTCACTCCGCTGGACCCACCAGCAGCCTTCAAAAGTGGCGACAGTTTCACAGATCGCAGCCCCCCAGCTCCCAGGGATGGCGAGGTCTAATCTGAATCCCCGTGGTGCGTCACTCCGCTGGACCCACCAGCAGCCCTCGAAAGTGGCGACAGTTTCACAGATCGCAGACACCCCTAGAGATGGCGAGGTCTAATCTGAGTCCCCGTGGTGCCTCACTCCGCTGGACCCACCAGCAGCCCTCGAAAGTGGCGACAGTTTCACAGATCGCAGCCCCCCAGAGATGGCGAGGTCTAATCTGAGTCCCCGTAAGACGTCACTCCGCTGAACCCCCCAGCAGCCCTCGAAAGTGGCGACAGTTTCACAGACCGCAGCCCCCCAGGGATGCAAGAGAAAAGATGAGGAGGAGGAGGAGAAGGGAGGAGAGGAGGGGGACGGGAAGGAGGAGAAGGGAAGACGCGACCGCAATGCTCTATTCAAAACGAGTACCCAACGCAGGAGGGTTGGGAAACAGAAACGTCATAACTAGAGAGAGAGAGAGAGGAAACGAGAGAAGCGACTGATGAGGAGGAGCCGGACGACATGCAGGATGAGGACCAGGCGAAGAGATGAAGAGGAAGAGAAGGAGGCTGAGGAGGAAGAGGAGTGGTCCTTCGCACTGCCTCAATCCTCCTTCCGCCTTCCTTCACCCTCCCTCCACTTCCTCATCCTCAGCCGCATCGTCGTCATCCCTCGCACCTAGTTCCTTCTCTCCCGTCATCCGTCTCGTCCGCCTCATCGCCCACCACGCCACCGTGTGTTGCTGTCCTCGTGGTCCTTCTCCGCATCCTCCTCATCCTCATCGTCGTGTTTCTTATGTTGTTCTCATCCTGCTCAGCTCCTCTCGTCTTATCGCCGTCAACCCTCGCCCCTAGTTCGTTTTCTATCTTCCTTCTTCTCGTCTGCCCCATCGTCCACCACCTCATCCTTGTTGGATTCTCCCTGATGTCCGTCTCCTCATCCTCCTCATCCCCTGTTCGCTGTGCATTAGTACCCACATCGCTATCTTCCTCCCGATCCTCGTCTTGCCCCCCCCTCATCCCCGCAGGGAGAGTTGATCGAGTCGTGCATTCAAAGGGTGACAGCTGGGGATGGGGGGAATCAGGAGGGAAAAAAACACACAGACACAATTAATCCTCGATTTCCCAGAAAATATGGGAAAATATGGGAAGTGGGGGGGAAGACAAAAGCCCAGACAATATGGGATAATATGGGGGATATTTTTATTTGTGTGTATTTATTTGTGTGTCCCAATTCCCCTTCAGGGAAGGAAGGGAGGAACAGAAAGAAGGGGAGCAGGCACGAAGAGAGAACGATATCTGCGATGGGGAGGCTACACGCGTGTAGGCAGAGGAGGGGGAAGGAACGATGGTGCGTGGAGACGGGAGCCCACCCCTATCAGCATCTGTAACCTCCTTTCCTCCCCCCATCCTGATCATTCTCGTGCCCGTCCACATCATCATCATCATCATCATCATCATCATCATCATCATCATCATCATCATCATCAGCATCATCATCATCATCATCATCATCATCATCATCATCATCATCAGCATCAGCATCAGCATCATCATCATCATCAACATCATCATCATCATCATCAGCAGCAGCATCATCATAAGCATCATCATCATCATCATCATCATCATCAGCGTCATCATCATCGCCATCATCACAGTTTTCCTTCCCCGCCGCTCCATCACAACACTAAGAAACGGCAGACAGAGA